TCGGCCCTTGCCCGGCCGGTATGCTACGTCAAGGTTCATCTCATCGCCAAAATCATACAATCCATGTTGCGTCGATACTGTACATGGTATCAATCATAAATCCAATAACATATATTCATAATTATATCCATAATTACTCACATATCAAATACTATCATAAATATATCGTGCAAATACATCTGTCAATCCATTTACAACATCACTTGGTCATCCAACCATACCCTCTGGTAAAAAATAGAGGATCACTGGACAAAAACCAACGTCGTCAATGATCTACTGAACTTGACGTACCATGGCCATCGTCCATCGTAGCCATCCACGCTCGCGCCAGACGCGCGCACAGCGGCCTCCGTCGAAGGCCGTCTTGCACTTGTTCTTGGGATCAGCGGCACCCATAACACACTTCGGCCTCGCCATGGCGGGCAAGGTGGGATGAGCCGCCGGGGTGGGTGAGGTAAGAAGCTACATAAACGGTTTGTCCCGCAAAAATAGTCGATTTTAGAAGGAAAACATTGGGAACTAGGGAACCATGCATTTTGGGGTTGATAAGTTTGATCCATAACCATATATAGCTGATGTTTTAGCATGCTTTAGCTTTATGATGAGCATGTATTCATTCAAGAACTTTGTTCATACAATGGGCCCGGGTTGATGTATTCATAACATTCAATCATTATCAATTATGGTTATACCTATATACCAATAAGTGCCATCATCTGCATAAAGATACACAGCATGTTTTCATAAACGTAGACATGCCGCAGCATGCCACCATAAAGCTATAACATCTATCCCCAAATCGGGCCCCATCCCTGACTCGGGATTGGGATCGCGGACAATCTTATCATTGATCCAAAATATCCAAAACCATGGGTGAAAACCTCTTGTGTCATCCCAAGAAAACAACAGATTACCCTGGGAAGCTGAAACCATGAAAAACAAGTGGGTTTTAGCATGAAAAATATGGATCATAACCTATGAAAAATCAGGTTTTTGATAGTTTTGGGTGCCCATGGTAGACATGAATGGGGGCCCGGAAATCAACTCCAACATTTGGGGATCCGCAACTTGACCCAGTTCGCCCTTAACCCCGTCCCCAACCCCATCCCTATCCCCAACCCCATCCCCCAAATTGGATCCAAACTCAATCAGAAAGACTCCAGGGATCTCCTTGGGGGGCCAAGGGGCTGACACCAGCTACCTCCGCAGGTGACACACTGATCAGCGCTCGAAGCGCAAGGGCTCTTGAATGAGGCCTGTGGAGGTGGGCGGGATGTGGGCGGTGCGGGTCATGGATTTTCAGGATATAGGCTGATTTTCGGGAGGATTTGTCATGGATTTTCAGGAAAACGATTGGATTTTCAGGAAGATGTTTCACAGAACCTAACGGGAACCGCCCAATCTGAAAGCAATCTTTGCAAGCAGCAGCTATGGCTATGGCCCAGTTAAGGCCGATGATTCCACACTCACACATGGTGATCTACTTTAGTAGTGAACCGTCAAATGTTTGGCTACCTATTTAGCCAACGCCAAATGATGAACACATGAATCCAAAATGGGTGTGATCACAAATCCGCCCAAATGACATAGGCATAAACACGTTAGGAACAACTTGCTAACCTCATTCCTGCAAAGGCCCATCCTCGTCCTCATCATCATCATCACCGTCGTCGTCGTCATCACCACCACCACCACCACCACCATCCTCCTCCTTCTCCTCCTCATCATCCTGGCCTATCCTCACGTATCCTCACCATCCTCTCACCTTGTTTTTCCGCCCCAGAAGCAGCCACAAAACGCCCCAAATCCTAAATATCCGCGACCACGATATCATCATAAATATTCATAAATCATCCGCGTCCAAGTCGCAATGGCAGTGGGATAGCAACTGCCACAGGTATCGTGCCAGTCTTCCCCACTGAAGCAGCACAAGCCGCCCTGTTTGGCCTCCCATTTCTCTTGCGTCATCCTGAGCTCAACTCGATGAGATGTCGCTATCATCGGACCGTGCCGGAAACCACCCCGAATTGAGTCGCTGCTGGTATTCAATTGTTGACAATTCAGATCTAGATTTGTTTGAAACATCATAATCAAAATCATATGAAAAAAATTGAAGATACGAACATGTGACAGGCTCTGCAGTTCACTTCTACCCCTCTAATGAATCAACATGGCAACCCAAAATCCACCATTTATATACATGGTGAATGATGACTACAGTGTATATACAGTATATATATATATATTGTTATTATTACATATTATTACTATTGTTATTATTATTATATATTACTATTTTTATTTATGCGTGACCTACTAAAAATTGTGATTTAGGATTTAGGATGATTTACTTATTGAACATGGTGGTGTTTGCTTGCATCATGGCAACCTTGGCAACGTTTGCAAATGAGCATCGTATCTTCCGCGGTCTCTCCCGAGGCGTCCGGTTTCTCCTCCGTTTCGGCGTCCGCGGTCTCTGCGGTCTCTGCCGTCGCTGTGTCAGGTGCCTTGCTGTAGGGATCCTCA